TTTTTTCGGCAGTACACAGTGGCTCATGCCTGTAATCCCATTACTTTGGAAGGATAAAGCAGGTAGACCACCTGAGATCAGGAGTTCAAGACCAGCCTGGCCAACCTGGTAAAACCGCATCTCTATTGAAAATACAGGCCGGGTGCAGTGGCTCACGCCTATAATCCCAGCACTTTGGGAGGCCGAGGCGGGTGGATCACAAGGTCAAGAGATCAAGACAATCCTGGGCAACAAGGTGAAACCCTGTCTCTACTAAAGTACAAAAATTAGCTGGGCATGGTGGTGTGCGCCTGTAGTCCCAGCTACTTGGGAGGCTGAGGCAGGAGAATTGCTTGAACCCAGAAGGCGGAGGTTGCGGTGAGCCGAGATCATGCCATTGCACTTCGCCTGGGCAACAACAGCGAAAACTCCATCTCAAAAAAAAAAGGAAATACAAAAAATCTAGCCAGGCGCGGTGGCTCACACCTGTAATCCTAGCACTTTGGGAGGCCAAGGTGGGTGGATCACCTGAGGTTAGGAGTTCAAGACCAGCCTGGCCATCATGGTGAAACCCCATCTTTATTAAAAAAGAAAAATACAAAAAATTAGTCAGCCATGGTGGCAGGCATCTGTAATCCCAGCTACTTGGGAAGCTGAGGTCAGGAAGCTGAGGTCAGGAGAATTGCTTGAACAGGAGGCAGAGGTTGCAGTTAGCTGAGATCGCACTACTTTACTCCAGCCTGGGCTACAGAGCAAGACTGTCTCAAAAACAAAATACTTTTCAAAAAATTTAAATAGGCCAGGCGCGGTGGCTCACACCTATAATCCCAGCACATTGGGAGGTCGAGGCGGGTGGATCACGAGGTCAAGAGATCGAGACCATCCTGGTCAACAAGGTGAAACCCGGTCGCTACTAAAATACAAAAATTAGCTGGGTATGGTGGTGCACGCCTGTAGTCCCAGCTATTCAGGAGGCTGAGGCAGGAGAGTTGCTTGAACCCAGGAGGCGGAGGTTGTGGTGAGCCGAGATCATGCCATTGCACTCCAGTCTGGGTAACAACAGCGAAGCTCCGTCTCAAAAAAAAATTTTTTTTTAAAATAATATATGAGTACACAGGTTTGAGTAGCTTAGAAAAAAATAAATACATAAAAATAAAAAAAATTTTTTGTTTGTTTGTTTGTTTTAGAGCCAGGGTTTCACCATGTTGGCTGGGCTGGTCTCGAACTCCTGACCTCAGGTGATATTCCTGCCTTGGCCTCCCAAAGTGCTGGGATTACAGATGTGAGCCACTGCGCCCGGCCAAAAATTTTTTTTAATAAAAAAGTTTAAATAAATATGGGTGTCTCACTATGTGCATTACCCAGGCTAGTTTCAAACTCATGGCCTCCCAAAGAATTGGGATTACAGGCATGAACCACAGCGCCCAGCCTCTAATACCATCTTAACTCTAAAACCTAACAGCCCAGAGCAGGTATAGTTCCCATAAACCTGACTGGAATGTTTCTAGCTTGGAAAGAATTAGTTATTCAAAGCTCTGGGTGAGGAGACTGCCTTTCTGCCTGATCCTTACCCTGCTCCCACTCTGGAGGAGATAGTCTCCTGAGACATTCCAGACATAAGAAACTATTTCACCTTCAAACCTCCCCTCAACCCCCACCACACACAGCACCCCAGACTTATCTGATGTGGGAGCCAGTGAAGGAAAGTAGCTGGAAGTACAACATTCCACCTTACTGGCAAGGCCCTGCAGACTCCTGGAAGTGACCAAGAAAGGATGGGCGGCTGTCTCCACCCTGGTCATTCCTCTAGCTGGTGTTTCACAACTATTGTCTCTTCCTTTCATGTGCAGGTGCCCAGAAGAAAGACCCCAGAATCAAAAAGTCAGTCCTCAGGCCAGGGGCAGTGGCTCACACCTATAATCCCAGCACTTTGGGAGGCAGAGGCAGGCAGATCACCTGAGGTCAGGAGTTCAAGACCAGCATGGCCAACATGGCGAAACCCTGTCTCTACTAAAAATACAAAAAAAAATTACCTGGGTATGGTGATGTGCGCCTGTATCCCGGCTACTCAGGAGACTGGGGTACAAGAATCATTTGAACTCGGGAGGCAGAGGTTGCAGTCAGCCAAGGTTGTACCACTGCACTCAGGCCTGGGTAACAGCGAGACTTCATCTCAAAAAAAAAAAAAGAAAAAAGAAAAGAAAAGAAAAAGTCAAAAAAAAAGAGAGAAAAAGAAAAGAAAAAGTCAGTACTCAGACTATCATCCCTGGTCTAAGCCTGATCATTCCAAGAAAAGGGTTTCCAGGTAGTCACTAGGGGGACAGAAAGCTAGGGAAACAGATAAATCCCCACTGACTCTAATCTCAGGGAGCCAGATGCTCACAGGTGTGGAAGTGATTACCTATTTCTGTTGTTTCTTTTCTTTTTCTTCTTCTTTTTTTTTTTTTTTAGACAGAGTTTCGCCCTTGTTGCCACGCTGGAGTGCAATGGCACAATCTTGGCTCACCGCAACCTCTGCCTCCTGGGTTTGAGCAATTCTCCTGCCTCAGCCTCCTAAGTAGCTGGGATTAGAGGCATGTGCCACCATGCCCAACTAATTTTGTATTTTTAGTAGAGATGGGTTTCTCCATGTTGGCCAGGCTGGTCCGAACTCCTGACCTCAGATGATCCGCCACCGCGGCCTCCCAAAGTGCTGGGATTACAGGCATGAATCCACTGGAGTTTCTTTTCTTTTTCTTTCTTTCTTTCTTTTTTTTTTTAGACAGAGTCTCGCTCTTTTGCCAGGCTGGAGTGCAGTGGCTGAGATCTCTGCTCACTGCAACCTACGCCTCCTGGGTTCAAGTGATTCTCCTGCCTCAGCCTCTCGAGTAGCTGAGGCTACAGGCACACACCACCATGCCCAGCTCATTTTTGTATTTTTAGTAGAAATGGGGTTTCAGCACACTGGTCAGGATGGTCTCGATCTCTTGACCTCAGGTGACCTGCCCTCTTTGGCCTCCCAAAGTGCTGGTATTAGAGGCGTCAGCCACTGCGCTTGGCCTATTTCTGTTGTTTTTTGCTCTGGGAAAGAGTCTGGTGGAGTTGGACTCCTCGGTCTCTATTGCAGAACAAGCCATAGCCCTTTCCTCCCATCTCCATGCTGAAACTCTCCACATCCTGTGCCTGCCCTTCACATTTTATAGTCCCTGCAGCTTAGTAAATGTACAAGGTGTACTATGTGTATTAGTCATCAGAGGAGGTACTTTCTGCCCTCTCACCGCAGCTGGGAATTTCTCTTCTGCTGACCTCTGGTGGTGATAGTTTGAATTGTACCCTCCCTTTTTAGTTGGTGGTCTGTTGGCCATCAATTAATGGTGCATATTTTCTCAACAATTTAAATTCAAATGTCCAAGTATAGTAGTAAGTGGTAATTTTTTTTTTTGAGACGGAATCTTGCTCTGTCGCCAGGCTGGAGTGTAATGGTGCAATCTCAGCTTACTGCAACCTCTGCCTCATGAGCTCAAGCAATTCTCCTGCCTCAGTCTCCTGAATAGCTGGGATTACAGGCACGAACCTTCGCCCCCAGCTAATTTTTGTATTTTGGTAGAGACGGGGTTTCACCATGTTGGCCAGGCTGGTTTTGAACTCCTGACCTCAGACGACCCACCGGCCTCAGCCTCCCAAACTGCTGGGATTACAGGCGTGAGCCACTGCACCCGGCCCAGTAATTTTTTTTTTCATTGTTGAATTTTGTATGTGTTTCAGGCAGTATGGTGGAATGCAAAGAAGAGAGCCTGGACTTTGGAGTCAGACTTGCCTAGGTTCAAATCCCAGCTCTTTCCTAGCTGAATGACCTTGGGCAACTTAGCTCAGCTCAATTTTTTTTTTGAGACAGAGTTTCACTCTTGTTACCCAGGCTAGAGTGCAATGGCACGATTTCGGCTCACCGAAAACTCCGCCTCCTGGGTTCAGGCAATTCTCCTGCCTCAGCCTCATGAGTAGCTGGGATTACAGGCACATGCCACCATGCCCAGCTAATTTTTTGTATTTTTTTAGTAGAGACGGGGTTTTACCATGTTGACCAGGATGGTCTCGATCTGTTGACCTCATGATCCACCCGCCTCGGCCTCCCAAAGTGCTGGGATTACAGGCTTGAGCCACCGCACCCAGACTCAATGTGTTTTTAAGAAATTCTGATAAATTGGCCTGGGCGTGATGGCTCATGCCTGTAATGCCAGCACTTTGGGAGGCCGAGGCATCAGATCACAAGGTCAGGAGTTCAAGACCAGCCTGGCTGACATAGTGAAACTTCGTCTCTACTAAAAAATACAAAAATTCTCCTGCATCAGCCTCCCAAGTAGCTGGGACTACGGGCACCCATCACTACGTCTGGCTAGACATGGCGATGGGTGCCTGTAGTCCCAGCTACTTAGGAGGCTGATGCAGGAGAATCGCTTGAGCCCAGGAGGCAGAGGTTGCAGTGAGCTGAGATTGTGCCACTGCACTCCAGCCTGGGTGATACAGCGAGAATCTGTCTTAAAAAAAAAAAAAATTCTGGTATACTTTCTGATTCTTAAGTTTGGAAAACAAGGTAACCTCTAGTATGGGCTGTGAGGCATTCCTCTGCCCAAGCAGCTACAGATGTGAACCCTGAATATAAAGGGATCTTAGGCTAGAAAGGATCTTGGGCAGAGCTGAATGACTCTAAGCATTTGACCTCACTTTGGCTTCCTACTGAAAAGAGTCAACAGAGTCTGCATCTTCTTCCAAGGTCAGCAAAGGGCAGAGATTTGAAATTAGGCATCACTGGGTTCTCAGCTGGGCCTCCAAGGTCCCCTCCTCCCACTTTGCAGAGCAAAGAGGAGGCTGCAGAAGAGAAGAGGATATAAGATTGGTTCTCTGCTCCTCCCTTTCTTTCCCTGCTTTCCCCACACCCACCCTCTCCCCCACAGCAGCCTTCTCCCCCACAGAGGCTGGGAAAGGATGAGGGGGGCGGAGTTGGGGACTGAGGGATCAGAAGTCCCACGATGCCCTGTATCTGAAGAAAGCTTTGGCCAGGGGCAGCTGTGCTGGCTCATGCTCTCCTTCTCCTGCTGCTGCCATCCTCCAGCAAGATGCTTGGGTCTCTGGGGCTTTGGGCATTACTTCCCTCAGCTGTGGAAGGTAAGCGTCGACAGGGAGGGGCAGGGTCTTTCCATCCATCCAGCGAGGGAAAGGGGTGCTTGAAGCAACAGCCACCCCTTTGGAAGAGTGGTGAGTGGGCTGGGTGAGTGAAGATGAAGGATAGAGCCATGTGTCCCCATGGCAGGGCTCAGGTTCCAGGCCTCTGCTGACCCTGGTTCCTCCTGTGGCTTTACCATACTGACGCTGGGATGTGAAACATGTTTTGTCTGTTCTTTTGGCCACTTTTCGGCCTCTGCATTCACTCCCATCTTGAATCCTTTCCTTTCCCCATCCTGGGCCTCAGCACCCCCAAACAGGCGAACCTGTGTGTTCTTTGAGTCCCCCGGAGTGCGGGGAAGCACAAAGACATTGGGAGAGTTGCTAGATGCAGACCCAGAGCTCCCCAGAGCTATCCGCTGCCTCCACAGCCGCTGCTGCTTTGGGATCTGGAACCTGACCCAAGACCGGGCACAGGTGGAAATGCAAGGTGAATGGCAAAGTATATGGCAGGCAATAGCTAGGGTGGGAGACAGACACATCCTGGGGTGTGGGTGGCAGCCAAGGGGGAAGGGGAGAAATAGAATATTTCATGGTGGGAAAGAAAAGCCCATGAGAGATGGAAGGGATGCCTCTGAAAGAGAAGGGATTTATCCTCTGTTTCCACACCACTTTGTGCTTTCTTCCTTGCTCCTTCTTTCTCTCCTCTTCCCCTAATCCCACCCCATCAGGATGCCGAGACAGTGATGAGCCAGGCTGTGAGTCCCTCCACTGTGACCCAAGTCCCCGAGCCCACCCCAGCCCTGGCTCCACTCTCTTCACCTGCTCCTGTGGCACTGACTTCTGCAATGCCAATTACAGTCATCTGCCTCCTCCAGGGAGCCCTGGGACTCCTGACTCCCAGGGTCCCCAGGTCACCCCAGGTAGCCACCCAAGGGTACTGGAACCTGGTAGGGGCTGGGGCCCAGGTTAGGATGAGAGGTGGAACCAGTGCTAGTTCTCACCCTACTCCCACCCCATACTTTCCTCCTCCTGGCCTTGGGAAGTTGGTTACCCTGGTGACTGGGAGATAAGGGGTCTTGTGACCAGGGTGGGGGTGGGTTGAGAAGCAAACTCTCAGGAGGGGAAGAGCAGAGAGCAGGTTTGGGTCAGGGTTCACCAGCCTGCATTCTTGCCTTGATGTCCAGGTGAGTCCATCTGGATGGCACTGGTGCTGCTGGGGCTGTTCCTCCTCCTCCTGCTGCTGGTGGGCATCATCATCTTGGGTACTAATCCACCCCATCCCTCCCTTGTGACCCCAGATTGCCCCAAAGCTCTGACCCCTCTCCAGGCACCCCTGACCCCATGGTCTTGGGATCTCTGTAGCCTGATTCCCAGACTCCCATTACCTCTCACAAAGCTGCCTTTCCACAAAGTCCCCTTTCCTGTCCCCATGCATGCGCACCCTAACCCTAAGGCTCTTCTCTGTTCCAGCCCTGCTACAGCGAAAGACTTACGGAGTTCAAGGTGAGCCAGAGCCAGAGCCAGGGCCAGACTCAGCCAGGGACTGGAGTGCGGAGCTGCAGGAGCTGCCCGAGCTGTGCTTCTCCCAGGTGCCCCAGGGAGGGAAAGAAGGGCTCCTCTGGGCACTCCTGGAGGTTGTGCTGGGGAGGAAGCCTTGCCCTGGTATAGCTGAGAGGCCAACACTCAGCACAGTGTCCCTACCAGGTAATCCGGGAAGGAGGTCATGCAGTGGTTTGGGCTGGGCAGCTGCAAGGCAAACTGGTTGCCATCAAGGCCTTCCCACCGAGGTCTGTGGCTCAGTTCCGAGCTGAGAGAGCACTGTACGAACTGCCAGGCCTACAGCACGACCACGTTGTCCGATTTATCACCGCCAGCCGCGGGGGCTCTGGGCCCCTGCTAATACTGGAACTGCATCCCAAGGTGAGAGCATCAAGGAACGTATATGTGTGTATGTATGGAGATGGGGGCTACACAGCAGCTGGGCCCTGTTCACGCTTCTGCTTTAGATTTTCTCTTTTCTAAAACATTAAAAATGGCCACACAAGATAGCCCACACCTGTAATCCTAGGCCTTTGGGAGGTCAAGGTGGGTGGATCAGTTAAACCCGGGAGCTCAAGACCAGCCTGGGCAACATGAGAAAACCCCATAACTTCAAAACTACAAAAATTAGCTCAGCATGGCGTTGCACACCTGTAGTCCCAGCTACTCAGGAGGCTGAGGTGGGAGGATTGCTTGAGCCTGGGAGGTTGAGACTGCATGAGCCACAAGCATGCCACTGCACTCCGGCATGGAAGAGCAGGATCGTGCTCGCTTCAGCAGCACATATACTAAAATTGGAACGATACAGAGAAGATTAGCATGGCCCCTGCGCAAGGATGACACGAAAATTAGTGAAGCGTTCCATATATAAATTAAAAAAAAAAAACAGAGCAAGACCATCTCAAAAAATAATAATAGGGGCCGGGTGTGGCTCACACTGGTAATCCCAGCACTTTGGGAGGCTGAGGTGGGCGGATCATGAAGTCAGGAAATCAAGACCGTCCTGGCTATGGTGAAACCCCATCTCTACTAACATAAAAAAAAAATTAGCTGGGCGTGGTGGTGCACACTGTAGTCCCAGCTCCTCAGGAGGACGAGGCAGGGGAATCACTTGAATCCGGGAGGCGGAGCTTGCAGTGAGCTGCAATTATGCTACTGCACCCCAGCTTGGTGAAAGAGCAATACTCCATCTCAAAATAAAATAATAATAATAATAGGCTGGGTGTGGTGGCACATGCCTGTAATCCCAGCACTTTGGGAGGGTGAGGTGGGGGAATCACTTGTGGGCAGGAGCTCGAGACCAGCCTGACCAACATGGTGAAACATCATCTCTACTAGAAATACAAATATTAGCCAGGCATGGTAGCAAGTACCTGTAATCCCAGCTACTCAAGAGGCTGAGACACAGGAATCGCTTAACCCAGGAGGCAGAGGTTGCAGTGAGTTGAGATTGTGCCACTGCACTCCAGCCTGGGTGACAGAGCCACACTCCATCTAAAAAAATAATAATAATTAATAAAATAATAATAATAATAAATGTTAAAAATAATTAGGCTGGCTGGGCCTGGTGGCTAATGCCTGTAATTCAAGCACTTTGGGAGGCTGAGGCAGACAGATCATAAGGTCAAGAGATCGAGATCATCCTGGCCAACATGGTGAAACCCCATCTCTACTTTAAAAAAATACAAAAATTAGCTGGGCATGGTGGTGCACACCTGTAGCCCCAGCTGCTTGGGAGGCTGAGGCAGGAGAATCGCTTGAACCCGGGAGGCGGAGGCTGCAGTGAACCGAGATTGTGCTACTGCACTCCAGCCTGGTGACAGCAACACTCTGTCTTAATAAATAAATAAATAAATAAATAAATAGGCCAGTTGTGGTGGCTAAAGTCTGTAATCTCAGCACTTTGGGAGGCCAAAGTGGGCAGATTGCTTGAACCCAGGAATTCAAGAACAGCCTAGGCAACACTGTGAAATCCCACCTATACAAAAACCAAAAAATTGTCTGGGCATGGTGACACATGCCTATGGTCCCAGCTATTCAGGAGGTTGAGATGGGAAGAGCACCTGAGCCTGGGGAGGTCAAGGCTGGCAGTAAGCTGAGATTGTGCCACTGCACTCCAGCCTAGGTGACAGAGTAAGACCCTATCTCATAATAATAGTATTTATTATTATTTTTTAATTACATAAACAATACATGTTTATATATATATGTGTGTGTGTGTGTGTGTATTTTTTTTTCTTTTTTTTTGAGACAAAGTCTTGCTCTGTTGCTCAGGCTGGAGTGCAATGGCACGAGCTCAGCTCACTGCAACCTCTGCCTCCTGGGTACAAGTGATTCTCCTGCCTCAGCCTCCCCAGTAGATGGGAGTACAAGCATCCACCACCTTGCCTGGCTAATTTTTGAATTTTCACTAGAGACAGGGTTTCACCATGTTGACCAGGCTGGTATCGAACTCCTGACCTCAGGTGATCCGCCCTCCTTGACCTCCCAAAGTGCTGGGATTACAGGCATGAGCCACTGTGCCCAGTCAAAAAAACCCCAAAAAACAAATTTAAAAACCCCAACATTGTTAAGGAAATACCTCCAAACATAGCCCTCCAAACTCATTCATATATTAATTCAACAAATAATTATGAACTATATGTCAGGCACTATGTTAGAAGGCAGGAAAAACACGGTTCCTGCCTTTACAAATCTTACAGACTAGCAGAGGAGACAGAAATGGATCAAGTAAACACAAGCGTCAAATGTCAAGTGTGCTAAGTGCTAGAAGACAGCACCACTGAACTATAAGAAAGAATAATAAGATGTGACTTGATGGGGAGAGCAATGAACAATAAGAAGAAGTAACAGTAGGCAGAGGCCAGCCACACCAGGCCCTATGGGCCTGCTAAAGATTTGGGACTTTTGGCTGGACACAGTTGCTCACACCTGTAATCCCAGCACTTTGGGAGGCTCAGGCAGGTGGATCACCTGAGGTCAGGAGTTTGAGATCAACCTGGCTAACATGTTGAAACCCTGTTTCTACTAAAAATACAAAAAATTAGCCAGGCGTGGTGACACGTACCTGTAATCCCAGCTACTTGGGAGGCTGAGGCAGGAGAATCAGAGAGGCAAAAGTTGCAATGAGCCAAGATTGCACCATTACACTGCAGCTTGGGTAACAAGAGCAAAACTCCATCTTGAAAAAAAAAAAAAAGGCCTGGTTCCGTGGCTCATACCTGTAATCCCAGCACTTTGGGAGGATGAGGTGGGTGAATCACCTGAAGTCAGGAGTTCAAGACCAGCCTGGCCAACATGGTGAAACCCCGTCTCTACTAAAAATACAAAAATTAGCTGGACATGGTGGCCCGTGCCTGTAATCCCAGCTATTTGGGAGGCTGAGGCAGGAGAATCACTTCAGCCCAGCAGGTGGAGGTTGCAGTGATCTGAGATTGCACCATTGCACTTCAGCCTGGGCAACAGGGCGAGACTACATCTCAAAAATTAATTTGGGACTATTTAAGCTTTTGTATAATTTCCCATCTGCTTCCTGCTAGGTATTACACTACATACTCTTTTTCTTTTTGTTTTTGAGATGGAGTCTCACTTTGTCACCCAGACTGGATGGAGCACAGTGGCATGATCTCGGCTCACTGCAACCTCTGCCTCCCAGGTTCAAGTGATTCTCCTGCCTTAGTCTCCCAAGTAGCTGGAATTACAGGAGTGTGCCACCATGCCCAGCTAATTTTTGTATTTTTAGTAGAGATGGGGTTTCACCTTGTTGGTCAGGCTGGTCTTGAACTCCTGACCTCTTCTTTTATTTACTTTTTCTTTTTACTTAAGAGTGAACATGATTGCTATAAACTTCTGACCTCAAGCAATCTGCCCATCTCAGCCTCCCAAAGTGCTGGGAGCCACCCTGCCCTTTCTTCTTCTTCTTTTTTTTTGGACAGAGTTTCATTGTGTTGCTCAGGTTAGGGAGCAGTGGTACAATCTCGGCTCACTGCAGCCTCTACCTCCTGGGTTCAAGCAATTCTGTCTCAGCTACCGAAGTAGCTGGGATTACAGGTGTGCTGTCACCACTCCTGGCTAATTTTTGTATTTTTAGTAGAGACGGGGTTTCACCATATTGGCCAGGTTGGTCTCGAACTCCTGACCTCAAGTGATTTGCCCACCTCAGCCTCCCAAAGTGCTGGGGTTATAGGCATGAACCACCCCACTTGGCTGCAGTGCCCACTTTAAACACATTTTCAAACTTACCCTTCACAAACACATTGTGAGGAAAGAATGATTATCCACATGGGGCTCAGAAAAGGAAAGTCATTTGCCCAGAATCTGCGTGACTCTAGAGCTGGCTCCTCATCATCTTGTCTATTGCCTCCTGTTTACCCCTCCATCAGGACTGTGTGTGTCTCTGTCCACGTGGGACAGCTCCCTATTGTAAGTAGTTCAACCTGTACAACCTGTTTCAGTGCTCAGATGCAGGGGCTTTCCCCTGGACTTTATCAGCACCTATAGCTTCTGCACCTCTGAAATCTTGAATTCTGGAAAATTCCCTCTTTGACCCATACCTCCTGGCCCAGCTCAAATATCACGTTTTTGTTTGTTAAAATTTCTGTGACTTCTCCAGGCAGGGTTAATCATTCTTGCTTTATTCCCCTCTGGACTCAGTTAATTTTCCCATCTTGGGGTTTACTGCATTCTTTTTACTTTTTCTTTTTTTTTTTTTGAGATGGGAGTCTTGCTCTGTCACCCAGGCTGGAGTGCAGTGGTGCGATCTCAGCTCTCTGCAGTCTCCGTCTCCCAGGTTCAAGTGATTCTCCTGCTTCAGCTTCCCAAATAGTTGGGACTACAGGCAAGAGCCACCATGCCCAGCTAATTTTTGTATTTTTAGTAGACACCGGGTTTCACTATCTTGGCCAGGCTGTTCTTGAACTCCTGACCTCGTGATCTACCCACCTCAGCCTCCTGAAGTGCTGGGATTACAGATGTGAGCCACCATGCCCAGCCTTTGCATTCTTTATCTCTCTTTTTTTTTTTTTCTGAGACCGAGTCTCTCTTCACCTCCTGGGTTCGAGCAATTCTCCTGCCTCAGCCTCCTGAGCAGCTGGCATTACAGGTACCTGCCACTACTCCTGGCTATTTTTTTGTATTTTTATTTATTCATTTTGTTCCTTATTCTAATTTTTTGTATTTTTAATAGACACAGAGTTTCATCCTGTTGGCCAAGCTGGTCTCGAACTCCTGACCTCGTGATTCTCTTGCCTTGGCCTCCCAAAGTGCTAGGATTACAGGTGTGAGCCACCACGCCCAGCCTTGCTTTCTTTATCTCTTACCTTCCCTGAGCCATCTTGTGCCTGAAGACAGATCATGGCCACTGAAGGTGCTCTATAACACTTGTTGAATAAGGGATTCTATTGCTTCTTTCCCTCCAATTCCCATTTTCCCTCCACCTGCTACTCTGTTATCCACTGGCTCTGCCCATCCATGTGTACACAGGCCTGACACCTCAGACAAGGTGGTTCGTGAGGGATGCCCGAATAGCTTACCTTGCCTCCTCTGTTTCCGTCTTTGCTCCATGTCTTCTGAGTCAGTATAAGCTGCTGGTTATTAATAAGTGACCCTGAGTCAGAGTGTTTGGATTCAAGCTCCACTCCTGCCTCATCAACGGATTCAAGCATGTTTCCTTAGCTCTTTAAGGAAAAGCTCTTCATCTGTTAAACCAGGGTGTGATAGGAGCACCTACCTCCTAGGGTTGTCACAAGGATTACAGGAGGCCACGTACACTGGGCCTGGACTACAGTAAGTGCTCAGTACCCTTGACCCAGAGTTACTATTTTTTCATGTCAATCGATGCACAATCTTACTTCTTCTACCTACTGTCTTGGCCAGCATCTGTCAGTGTGTCTGTCTGCTGGGGAGATGCAGGGAGAAGACTGTCAATTGATCTTGCTCCCTGAAATGGATCAGCTGCCTCCAGCTTTGTGTACTGTCCTCTTCTCTCTGCTTTTCCCCAGGGCTCCCTGTGCCTCTACTTGACCCGACACACTAGTGACTGGGGAAGTTCCCTGCGGATGGCACTGTCCCTGGCCCAGGGCCTGGCATTTCTCCATGAGGAGCGCTGGCAGAATGGTGGGTGAGCTGGGAATAGGGAGTCAAGGGAGCCACACTGCTATGTTTCTGATTCTCTCTTAGTTTGGAGGGGAAGGATTGGGTCAAAAGAGAGACAAATAAGATCCATGTTCTTCCAACCTTGGAATTCCCCCACAGGCCAGTATAAACCAGGTATTGCCCACCGAGATCTGAGCAGCCAGAATGTGCTCATTCGGGAAGATGGATCCTGTGCCATTGGAGACCTGGGCCTTGCCATGGTGCTTCCTGGCCTCACTCAGCCCCCTGGCTGGACCCCTACTCAACCACAAGGCCCAGCTGCCATCATGGAAGTGAGTTCTCCGGATAACCGGTGAGGCCCAGGATGATGGTGGTGCTGCTGATGGCAGTGCTGCTGTTGTGTGTTAATAGTTGTAGCAATGCCTGCAGCATTTGAGACACTGCTGAGTCTGTGGTTGCGGGGATATTGCATGGACCATTGCTGCAATGAGGGTTGCCACAGAGATGATTCTTGGCCCTTTGTGCCTTGCTCTTCAGGCTGGCACCCAGAGATACATGGCACCAGAGCTCTTAGACAAGACTCTGGACCTACAGGATTGGGGCATGGCCCTCCGACGAGCTGATATTTACTCTTTGGCTCTGCTCCTGTGGGAGATCCTGAGCCGCTGCCCAGATTTGAGGCCTGGTAAGGATGGGTGGTACCATTCCCCTCCCTGGGTACTCCCTGCCCATTCTAGGTTCACCCCAACATGACCTGGTCCCAAGAAAGCTCTGCTCTTCCCCCTCTTGGCTTTTCTACATGGTAGGCACCCCTAGGGCTAACTGACACCCATCCCCTCTACCTTTCTCCAGACAGCAGACCACCACCCTTCCAATTGGCCTATGAGGCAGAATTGGGCAGTACCCCCACCTCCGATGAGCTATGGGCCTTGGCAGTTCAGGAGAGGAGGCGTCCCTACATCCCATCCACGTGGCGCTGCTTTGCCACAGTAAGAGGCCCAGGCTGTTGGGCTGGGGACCTGGGGAGTGGGGGCTGGGCATGGGCTTCAAGAATGTCTCTGCCAGGGCCAGTCTGTCTATTCATATCTCCTCTAATCTCCCATCACTCCTTGTTCAGGCTTAGCTGGAACTGGGCAAACTTGCTCTCTCCCTCAGTTCATCTTCTTCCACTCTAAGTCTCACACAGTCCGTTCCATCTACCTGAGACACACACCTTCCTCCTGCTCAGCCTTGCCTAGCCTGCTCTTCTCTCTACCATCAGTTAGCTCTGTTCCTTAGTCCCCTCCTCCAGGAAGCCCTCTTTGGCTTTGTTCTTGCTCTGAGCTCTGCCCTGTCCACTCTCCTGTCAATTCAACAAGTCCCCATTCTGTCATGCATTGATAATGTTTCTGCTGTGACCCAATAAAAGGCAGTTCTGGGTATAAAGGGTGAAAGCAGTGGCCTCACAGTGAAAATTCCAGACTTTGCATCAATACTTTTTTTTTTTTCTTTTGAGACAGAGTTTCACTCTTGTTACTCAGGCTGGAGTGCAATGGCGTGATCTCGGCTCACCACAACCTCCACCTCCTGGGTTCAGGCAATTCTCCTGCCTCAGCCTCCTGAGTAGCTGGGATTACAGGCACGCGCCACCATGCCCAGCTAATTTTTTGTATTTTTAGTAGAGACAGGATTTCACCATGTCGACCAGGATGGTCTCGATCTCTTGACCTCGTGATCCACCCGCCTCGGCCTCCCAAAGTGCTGGGATTATAGGCATGAGCCACCACGCCCGGCGCATCAATACTTTTTTAACAGAATGTCCCTTCTCTTGCTATCTGATCTGAACTTTCCACTGCACAAGTCAGGTAGGTTAGCTAACAGAAACCAGGCATTACTTGCAGAAGACTCTGGTTCTCTGAGCAGAAAGAGAGTAATTTCCCATTAGCATATTAAGCTGTCAATCTATATTAGCTCCTCAGAGGAAATGGTGGGCTGTATGGAAGGGCCCCAGAGAGCCTGTTTCATAGAGAACAAGACTCAGAGGCCTGGAGTTTAGCAAGAGGGAGAGGAGGGAGGCTCCAGGAAAATCGGAAATGGAGTGTTGAAAACAGGAGAGTGATGGACATTGAAGATGCCTTTTAACCCTGAGGCCCACTCAAGCTCCCTAGGATCAACCCTCCCCCTGTCATTCCTCCCAGGACCCTGATGGGCTGAGGGAGCTCCTAGAAGACTGTTGGGATGCAGACCCAGAAGCACGGCTGACAGCTGAGTGTGTACAGCAGCGTCTGGCTGCCCTGGCCCATCCTCAGGAGAGCCATCCCTTCCCAGAGGGCTGTCCACATGGCTGCCCATATCTCTGCCCAGAAGACTGTACTTCAACTCCTGCCCCTGCCATCCTCCCCTGTAGGCCTCAGCGGAGTGCCTGCCACTTCAGTGTTCAGCAAGGCCCTTGCTCCATGAATCCCCAACCTGCCTGTACCTTTTCTCCCATGTAAATATGCAATTTATGTATAGTCAATGTACATGCCAACATAAATATGGCAATTGTATAGCTGTCTTGTCTGTCTCACCACTGCCTTTCCCACCTGCCGAATCCTTGGACTCTTCCACAGGCATCCAGTCCATGGCAGTTCTGACCAGTGACTGGGGGTAGGTATGCACCGGAAACAGAATAAAGTCAGCTTTCCTGACGCATATCCTTGGGCCTTTCTCTATTCCTGTAATCCAGGGACCCTCTTGTCTCTCTCCTCTTCCACCAACATTTATTTTTATTTATTTATCTTTTTTTTTTGAGACGGAGTCTCACTCTGACACCCAGGCTGAATTGCAGTGGCATGATCTCAGCTCACTGCAACTTCTGCCTTCCAGGTTCAAACAATTCTGCCTCAGCCTCCCGAGTAGCTGGAATTACAGGTGTATGCCACCATGCCCGGCTAATTTTCTGCATTTTTAGTAGAGACGGGGTTTCACTATGCTGTCCAGGCTGGTCTTGAACTCCTGATTTCGTGATCCTCCTGCCTCGGCCTCCCAAAGTGTTGGGATTACAGGCATGAGCCACCAAGCCTATGTATTTATTTTTTGGAGACAGATTATCTTTCCAGGCTGCAGTGCAATGACACAATCACCTTGTCCTCCCTGGGCTCTTGTGATCCCCCTGGCTCAGCCTCCTAAGTTGCTAGGGCCACAGGCATGTACCACTATACCTAGCTAATTTTTTATTTTTTGAAGAGATGAATTCTTGCCGTGTTGCCCAGGCTAGTCTCGAGCTCCTGAGCTCAAGCAGTCCTCCTACATCAGCCTCCCAAAGTTTTGGGATTATAGGCATGAACCACTGCACTCAGCATTTTAAATTGCTTATTATTTTTATTTTTGAGATAAGCTCTTGTTCTGTTACCCAGGCTGTGATCATTGCTTACAACATCCTTGACCCGCTAGGCTCAAGCGGTCCTCCCACCTCAGCCTCCCAAGTAGCTGGGACTACAGATGCACGCCACCACACCCAGCTAATTTTTGTATTTTTTTCATAGAGACAGGGTTTCGCCATGTTGCCCAGGCTGGTCTTGAACTCCTGGGCTCAAGTGAAGGATTTCCAAAGTGCTGGGATTACAAGTATGAGCCAGCACATCCAGCCTCAAAATTTATTTTTAAAGGTGGTATCTCATGGTGGGCACTGGGGAAAGAAAGGCAAACACAACAAAATCACTGCCTTAAAGGTGCTCAATGACCTGCACATCGCACTGTTGGGGTCCGGTACACTGTCCTAGGGGTAGCAGGAGAGACTTGAGCAGGAATGCTTCACAGAGCACGGGATGCTTGAACCATGTCTTAACTGAGCAGGAGTTTCCCAGAGCATGCTCTTGTCCCTTCCTGTGACCCAGCTCTCATCCACGTCCAGTTAGTTCTCAAGTCCCACTGAGGCTGCCTAGGCAGGGCCTACTTCTTTTTCTTTCTTTATATGTTTTTTGAGACGGAGTGTTGTTCTGGTGCCAGGCTGGAATGCAGTGGCAGGATCTTAGCTCACTGCAAGCTCTGACTTCCTGGTTCCTGCAGTTTTGTGCCTCAGCCTCCCGAGTAGCTGGGACTACAGGTGTGTGTCATCACACCCAGCTATTTTTTTTTTTAGTAGAGATGGGGTTCACCATGTTGGCAAGAATGGTTTTGATCTCTTGACCTCGTGATCTGCCCGCCTCAGCCTCCCCAAGTGCTGAGATTACAGGCATGAGCCACCATGCCTGGCCTTTTTTTTTTTTTTTTTTTTGAGACAGAATCTCGTTTTATTCCCTAGGCTGGATTGCAGTGGCTCAATCTTGGCTCACTGCAACCTCCACCTCCCAGGTTCAAGCAATTCTCTGCCTCAGCCTCTCGACTAGCTGGGATTGCAGGTGCGCACCACCATGCCTTGCTAATTTTTGTATTTTTAGTAGAGACGGGGTGTCACCATATTGGTCAGGCTGGTCTCGAACTCCTGACCTAGTGATCCACCCACGTCGGCCTCCCAAAGTGCTGGGATTACAGGTGTGAGCCACCGTGTCTGGCCAATCCCAGCTCTTTGGGAGGCTGAGGTGGATGGATCACAAGGTCAGGAGTTCGAGACGTCTGGTGAAGATGGTGAAACCCCATCTCTACTAAAAATACAAAAATTATCCGGGCACGATGCCTGTACTCCCAGCTACTCAGGAGGCTGAGGCAGAAGAATCACTTGAACCCGGGAGGCGGAGGTTGCAGTGAGCCAAGATTGCACCACTGTGCTCCACCATGGGCGACAAAGTGAGACTCCGTCTCAGAAAAAAACAAACAAAAAAAGAATGTGTATAACTAAGTTGTCGTAGACCTTAGAAAACCTTCCAAATTATTTCAAGTATTTTGCAAAAAGCTAATATAAAATACATCAAAACGTAGTAGTCTTTTTTTATTTTATTTTGAGACCATGGCTCACTGTCATCTAGACTGGAGTGCAGTGGCATGATCTTGGCCCACTGCAACTTCTGTCTCCCAAGCTCCAGTGATCCTCCCACCTCAGCCTCCTGAGTAGCTGGGAGTATGATATACACAACCACACCCAGCTAATTTTTGTATTTTTTGTAGAGACAGGGTTTCGCCATGTTGCCCAGCCTGGTCTCGAACTCCTGAGCTCAAGGAATCCACCAGCCTTGGCCTCTCAAAGTGCTGGGATTACATGCATGAGCCACGTAGCCCGGCCAAAATGTAGTCGTTATATAAGATACTAACGTTGGGAGAAGCTGGGTAAATTTTACAAATTCTTGTGTGTCTAAAACTATTTCAAAATAAAAGAATATCTAGGCAATACCACTCAGGACATAGGCACGGGCAAAGATTTCATGATGAAATCACCGAAAGCAATTGCAACAAAAGCAAAAATTGACAAATGGGATCTAATTAAACTAAAGAGCTTCTGCAAAGTGGAAGAAACTATCATCAGAGTGAACAGGCAACCTACAGAATGGGAGAAAATTTTTGTGATCTGACAAAATGTCTAATATCCAGAATCTACAAGAAACTCAAATTTATAAGAAAAAAACCAACCCCATTAAAAAGTGGGCAAAGGACATGAATAGACACTTCTCAAAAGAAGACATGCAGCCAACAAACTGCATGAGAAAAAGCTCAGCATCACTAACATGAAAGAAATGCAAATCAAAACCATAATGAGATATTATCTCATGCCAGTCAGAATGGTGATTATTAAAAAGTCAAGGCTGGGCCCTGTTGGCTTATTCCTGTAATCCCAGCATTTTGGGAGACTGAGGTGGGCGGATCACCTGAGGTCAGGAGTTTGAGACCAGCCTGGCCAACATGGTGAAACCCCGTCTTTACTGAAAATACAAAAACTTAGCCAGACGTGGTGGCACGTGCCTGTAATCCCAGCTACTCGGGAGGCCGAGGCCGGAGAATCCTTGAACCCAGGATGCAGAGGTTGTGGTGAGCCAAGATCAGGCCACTGCACTCCAGCCTGGCCAACAAGACCAAAACTCCATCTCAAAAAAAAAAAAAAAAAAAAAAATGTCAAGAAACAACAGGCTGGGCCTGGTGGCTCACACCTGTAATCCTTTGGGAGGCCAAAGTGGGTGGATTGCTTGAGGTCAGGAGTTTGAAACCAGACTGGCCAGCATGGTGAAACTCCGTTTCTACTAAAAATACAATAAATAAATAAATAAACAAACTAACTAACTAACTAACTAACTAACAGGTGTAGTGGCAGGCACCTGTAATTCCAGCTACTCAGGAGGCCAAGGCAGGAGAATTGCTCAAACCTGGGAGGCAGAAGTTGCAGTGAGCCAAGATCTTGCCACTGCACTTCAGACTAGGCAACAGAGCAAGATTCCATCTCAAAACAAAAAACGAACAAACAAACAAAAAACAAAAACACAAACCAGATGCTGGCAAGGTTGTGGAGAAATAGGAACATTTTTACACTATTGATGGGAATGTAAATTAGTTCAACCATTGTGGAAGATGATGTGGTGATTCCTCAAAGATCTAGAGCCAGAAATACAATTTGACTCAGCAATTCCATTATTGGGTATATACCCAAAGGAATATAAATAATTTTATTAAAAAGATACATGCATGCATATGTTCATTGTGGCACTATTCACAATAGCAAAGAGATGGGATTAATCCAAATGCCCATCAAGGATAGACTGAATAAAGAAAATGTGGTACATATATACCATGGAATACTATATAGCCATAAAAAGGAATGAGATCATGTCCTTTGCAGGGACATGGATGAAGCTGGAAGCCATTATCCCCAACAAAATAATGCAGGAACAGAAAACCAGACACCATATGTTCTCACTCATAAGTGGGAGCTAAATGGTAAGAACACATGGACACAGGAGGGGAACAACACACACTGGGGCCTGTTAGAGGGAGGAGCAGGGGGAGGGAGAGTATTAGGAAAAGTAGCTAACATATGCTGGGCTTAATACCTAGGTGATGGGTTGGTAGGAGCAGTAAACCAGCATGGCACACATTTAACTATGTAACAAACCTGTACATCCTGCACATGTACCCCAGAACTAAAAATAAAAATTAAGGGAAAAAAGTTTTTTGTTTTTTTTTTTTGAGATGGAGTTTCGCTCTTGTTACCCAGACTGGAGTGCAATGGCACAATCTCGGCTCACCGCAACCTCTGCCTTCTGGGTTCAAGCAATTCTCCTGCCTCAGCCTCCGGAGTAGCTGGGACTAGAGGCGTGCACCACCAAGCCCAGCTAATTTTTGTATTTTTAGTAGACACGGGGTTTCACCTTATTGACCAGGATGGTCTCGATCTCTTGACCTTGTGATCTATCCGCCTTGGCCCCCCAAAGTGCTGGGATTATAGGCGTGAGCCACCACGTCCGGCCAAAAAAAAGTTTAAAATATTTCAAAGGCTTTAGTTTAATATGACAAATTTGGCATAAAATTTTTTGTCTTTAAATTTTTTGTATCCCACTTTTTTTTTTTTTTGAGACAGAGTCCTGCTGTGTCGCCCAGGACACTATCTCAGCTCACTGTAGCGTCTGCCTCCCAGGTTCAAACGATTCTCATGCTTTAGCCTCCCCAGTAGCTGGGATTACAGATGCGTGCCATCACATCCGGCTCGCATGTCCAGCTCATTTTTTGTATATTTAGTAGACACCCAGTTTTGCTAGGCTGGCCAGGCTGGTCTCAAACTCTTGGCCTCATGTGATCCATCCGCCTTGGACTCCAAAAGTGCTGGGATTATAGGCATGAGCCACTACGCCTGGCCTACTTATTTCTAAGTATTTAATTTTCACCATGGTTTATTCTTTCTATGGTTATTTGAAAGGCAATTTATTTATTTATTTAGAGATGGAGTCTTGCTCTGTTGCCGAGACTGGAGGGCAGTGGTGCAATTTGGCTCACTGCAACCTCCATCTCCCAGGCTCAAACAATCCTCCCATCTTGGCCTCCTGAGCAGCTGGGACTATAGGCAAGTGCCACCACCCTTGGCTAATATTTTGTTTTTGTATAGATGGAGTCTTACTATGTTGCCCAATCTGGTCCTGAACTCCTGGCCTCAAGTGATCCTCCAGCCATGGTCTCCCAAAGTGCTGGGATTACAAGCATAAACCACTGTGCCCAGACTGAATGACAGTTAAACAATCCTAGAACTTTGGGAGGCCGAGGTGGATGGATCACTTGGGGTCAGGATTTCAAGACCAGTCTGACCAACATGATAAAACCCGTCTCTATAAAAATACAAAAATTAGCTGGGCGTGGTGGTGGGAGCTTATAATCCCAGCTACTCAGGAGGTTGAGGCAGAAGAATTGCTTGAACCTGGGAAGCGGAGGTTGTAGTGAGCCGAGATCACACCATTGCACTCCAGCCTGAGTGACAGAGCGAGACTCTGTCTAAAAAAAAATAAAATAAAATCTATCTGTATGTTTGCTTATATTTTACACTGTGGTCAGAGAATATATACGTATTGAACAATTCTTTCAAAACTGAATTTTGTCAGTTGAGACATGCTTAGCTTAGAATGTGACCAATTTTTATAAATGCTCTAAGTGTGCTTAAGAATAATTAGCAGTCTTTAAGTTTTGAACGCATGGTTCAATGTATGTTCATTAGGTCAATTTTTTTTTTTTTTTTTTTTTTAAGGAGGCCATTGTGTAATTCAGGCGAGAAATGAATCCAGGCGAGAGATGATGGCAGGATAGGAGCAGGGAAGACAAGAGAGAAGTGGAGAGATTCCAGATGTATTTGAGAGACAAAACTGATAATTTGGGGCAAGGGAGGTGAAGGAGAGAGAGGCATCACAGATGACCTCCTTGGTTTCTGGCTTAGGCTACTCGACAGATGGTGGAGCTACACAATTGACAGAGGGAATCCTGGGAGAGATTATGAAATCTCTGCATTTTCCTCAAGATATGTTTCTTTGCTTCCCTTGAGAGTGTAAGAAGGAGCCGGCAACGAGGCTTGGGGCTGGGACTCAGCAGCTCCTCTGCCCTTGCCGAGAACTCTGTCTTTATCTGTATTACAACACTTAACCATAGTGTATTCACTTTACAAGTTATTGCACCCAATGAACCATGAGCAAGGGCAGAGTTTCTTCTCGGTGTTTCTAGTACTTTGCCCGGCAGCCAGCCCCGGCCCCCTCTAGCGCTGTCCCACTAGCCCCTCCCCCATGAGATTTCCGGCTTCTCTGTACTGGTCTAGCAATACAGGACTCGGCTCCGCCCCTAGAATAACTGGTTCCTCCTCAGGCGAACCAGAGTAATTGATTAGTCTCTTGTCCAATCATCAGCCGAGTGGTCACATAATTACCAATTAGGCAGTAGCAGAGGCGGGTGCCGAAGCAAGGGGTCTGTGTGACTAGGAAGTGAAAGCCTAGATTGGGAAGGAGAACGCGTCAAGCTCGGGCGGTGGTGGAAAGGTGAAGGGGTATCTGGATTTCCTAACTTTTTCCTTTTCCCATTACTAGGTAAAGAGTCCCTTTACAGCTTGGGGCTAGGATCTTCATTTGTCTTTTTTCATCTTTGGAGGAAGAGGGCTGTGGCCACATATTTAAGGTTCTTGCGCAACTTCCCTTTTACTTTGCCTCGAGGCATATTCTTTTCTTAGCCTAAGGTGGGAGTCCTCCCCGGGAGAGAAAGTTGTCTGAGATCCTTTCCTACTCTGTGGGTGGTTAAAGGCCTCCGGACTCAGTTGCAGGGAAAGGGAGACGAGTGATGGGGGGCCGAGACTCGTGGGTTCTGCTCTTCTTCTGAGGAGTTAGATGCTTCCACCTGGGGCCAGAGGTAGTGGAAGGTGGAGGGGCCCTGGGAACTAGACTCCTGTGTTAGGAATTAAGTAGGTATTGAGGGCGAAGGAACAAGTGGAAAGAGACTTTTTTTTTTTTTTTTGAGACGGAGTCTTGCTCTGTCACCCAGGCTAGAGTAGAGTGGCGCAATCTCGGCTCACTGCAATCTGTCTGCCGGGTTCAAGCGATTCTCCTGCCTCAACCTCCGGAGTAGCTGGGAGTACAGGCACCCGCTACCGCACCCAGCTAATTTTTGTATTTTTAGTAGAGACGGGGTTTCACCATCTTGGCCAGGCTGGTCTCGAACTCCTGACTTCGTGATTTACCCGCCTTGACCTCCTAAAGTGCTGGTATTACAGGCGTGAGCCACCGCGCCCGGCCAGAAAAAAGACATTTCTTATGTGGAAGTTGTGGTAGTTCTCCAGGTAGGAGAGTCCACTGTGGGGCGGAAGACATTGGGACTGGGCTCCGGTGCTGTCAGCTTCCTACCTCTAGACCGTCATCTTTTTTTGCCTTATTTCTTTCCCTTCAGGGTGGAGGACACACCTAAACATGTGGAACCCCAATGCCGGTAGGTGTTTGGGGGTTCTGTTCCACCCCTAACCTTTTTTCTGATGGGTCCTAACATGAAGTTTCTGTATCAGCTCCCCTGCCTCCACCCACCGCACCCGCTGTACCCGCCGCACCCGCTGTGCCCGCCGCACCCGCTGTACCTGCCCCACCCGCAAAAGCAAAGTCCTTGGTCTACAGCTGATCAGTGCTATTTAATTTAATTTAATTTTAGTTATTTTTGAGACAGAGTCTCTCTGTCACCCAGCTGAGTGCAATGTCAAGTTCTCAGCTCACTGCAACCTCCATCTCCTGGGTTGAAGCGATTATTTTGTGAGATGGTGTTTCACTATGTTGGCCAGGCTGGTCTCCAACTCCTGGCCTCATGTGATCTTCCCACCTCAGCCTCCCAAAGTGTTCGGATTACAGGCGTGAGCCACAGCGCCTGGCCGGACCAGTGCTTTTGTCTTCCTCAGAGTTCACTGCCTCCCTCTTCTCCCCAGCCTTCTGAGGACATTCCCCCTTTTCTCCCCAACTCTGGTTTGTTTCTCCTACCCTCCATTCTCTTTTGCCACCTTTCCATTTCCCTTTAAGTACTGGGTGAGAAAGTGAATCTCTTTCTTTTTGTGGTTTGTTGTTGGAGACTCTGGGGAATTCTAATGTTTATTCTCTGCTTCTTCCACCAGGGCAGCTAAATCCATATCCCCCCAACATCGGGTGCCCTGGAAATTCCAGTTCTGCCCACCCACCACCTGTCAATCCATCCTTTCCCCCAGGCCCCTATCCTCCTCCCACAGGAGCTCCCCACTGCAATCCAGTTTTCCCCCCATGTGGGCCCCCTCCTCCTGTGTTACAGCCAGGGTATCCAGGATGCCAACCCTCTGGTCCCTACCCTCCTCCATACCCACCCCCTGCCCCTGGAATGCCTCCTGTGAATCCCTTGGCTCCTGGCATCGTTGGACCAACAGTGATAGTGGACAAGAAGATGCAGAAGAAAATGAAGAAAGCTCATAAAAAGATGCACAAGCACCATAAGCACCACAAGCATGGCAAGGTCAGTACCCTCTGGGGCCTGGTGAGGGAAGGGGTGCCCTCTCAGAGGGACTAGGTGGGCAGGGTTGGGGTGTGGGGGATTCACATTCTGTGGACATGGAGATGACGATTGTGTCACTCTGGTAGATGATTCTTCCTTTTTATGAAAGATTGCTACTTGGAAGAATCTGATTATCTTTGAAAGAAACACCAGGCTTCTCTTATCTGGAGGGAGCTAGGTGAGCCTTAGAATGGATTTTAGAATCAAAAGCCACATCTTGTCTGCCCTACTCTCTCCCAGAACTTTTGCTCCCCCCAGGTGCATATTCTAGCAAGTTGGACATACCCACTGACATTGTCAAAATAGCAAAGTCCTTTGACAAAGCGAAGTCTCATAATAATAAACAGAGTAATAATCTTGCCCTAGTTCCTGGAGTTCTTTCTCTCTTTCAGTGTTCTTAGGATGTTGTTTTAATTACATGGGACCTTTACCCTATCATCCAGCAGAAAAAAATGAAGACATGAGCAGCAGTGACTCAGCCTCTAACAAAACAGAGGACTGAGGAGGTTTTAAACTCAGCCCCAAGGCTAAGTATCTTTGTTTCAGAGGAGTTTTAAAATTAGCAGGCCAGGCACAGTGGCTCACACCTGTAATCCCAGCACTTTGGGAGGCCGAAGCGGGTGGATCATGAGGTCAAGAGATCCTGGCCAACATGGTGAAACCCTGTCTCTACTAAAAACACAAAAAAATTAGCTGGGCGTGGTGGCGTGTGCCTTTAGTCCCAGCTACTCTGGAGGCTGAGGCAGGAGAATTGCTCGAACCTGGGAGGTGGAGGTTGCAGTGAGCCGAGGTCACACCACGGTACTCCAGCCTGGTGCCTGGTGACGGAGTGAGACTCTGTCTCAAAAAAAAAAAAAAAATCAGCAAGAGTGGCCGGGCACAGTAGCTCAAAGCCTGTAATCTCAGCACTTTGGGAGGATGAGGCAGGGGGATCACTTGAGGTCTGGTGTTCCAGACTAGCCTGGGCAACATGGTGAAACCTCATCTCTACTAAAAATGAAAAAAAAAAAAATTAGCCAGGTGTGGTGGCATGTGCCTGTAATCCCAGCTACTCAGGAAGCTGAGTCAGGCATATTGCTTGAACATGGGAGGCAGAGGTTGCAGTAAGCTGAGATTGTGCCACTGCTCTCCATCCTGGGGTGACAGACGAGACTCCATCTAAAAAATAAATAAAAATAAAAATAGCTGGCTCAGTCCTGTAATCTCACCACTTTGGGAGGCTGAGGTGGGTGGATCATGAGGTCAGGAGTTTGAGACCAGCCTGGCCAATATGGTGAAACCCTGTCTCTACTAAAAATACAAAAAGTATGCAGGCATGGTGGCGTGTGCCTGTAGTCCCAGCTACTCGGGAGGCTGAGACAGAAGAATCCCTTGAGCTCAGGAGGTAGAGGTTGCAGTGCGCCAAGATTGCGCCACTGCACTCCAGCCTGGGCAACAGAGTGAGACTCTGTCTCAAAAAAAAAAAAAAGATAAAAAATAGCAAGGGTAAAAGCAACTCTGAGGACAACTCTGGAAGGATTAAACCAATCTGCAACTTGATGAGGCCTTGTTTACATTTAACTGCCCAGTATTTATTTGCCTTGTGGATTCTAATTCCTGATTCTGGGTCTTTGAAGTCTGAAGAGAAGTGAGATTGAGTGGGGAAGAAGGTGAGAAATTACCTTGGAGAGACTGAAATTTTATTTTATTTTTTTGAGATGGAGTCTCAACTTCTACCTCCTGGGTTCAAGCAGTTCTCCTACCTCAGCCTCCCAAGTAGCTGGGACTACAGGTGTGTGCCACCACGTGCCCGGCTAATTTTTTTTTTTTTTTTTTGAGACCTAGTCTTGCTCTGTCACTGAGGCTGGAGTGCAGTGGCATGATCTCGGCTCATGGCAACCTCCGCCACCCAGGTTCAAACGATTATCCTGCCTCAGCTTCCCCAAGTAGTTGGGACTATAGGTGTATGCTACCACACCTGGCTAATTTTTGTATTTTTAGTAGTGATGGGATTTCATTATGTTGGTCAGTTGACCTGGATCTCTTGACCTTGTGATCTGCCTGCCTCAGCCTACCAAAGTGCTGGGATTACAGGCATGAGCCACCACACCTGGCCAGTTTCTGTATTTTTTTTGTTTTTCTTTTTTCTTTCTTTTTTTTTTTTTTAGCCAAAAGGTGCTGTTCAGAATTTTTTTTTTCTTAACTCCTTTCAGCATCCGTTTTTTTTGTTTTTTTTTTTTTTAATTTTTTCAAATTTCTGTATTTTCTTTTTTAGTAGAGACTGGCTTTCACCATGTTGACCAGGATGGTCTGCATCTTTTGACCTCATGATCCACCCACCTCAGCTTCCCAAAGTGTTATGATTACAGGCATGAGCCACTGCGGCCTGCTGAAAAATGTTTTTCTTTAATAACTGTAGCATTGCTGGGAGTATAGGCATAGTAGAACTCCCACCCTTTTCTTACATCTTCCCCACTTTTTCCCATTGTGCTTGGGAAAAAGTAGAGATACATGCATGCACAGCTGCTGTTTCTACTCTCTTTTCTTAGTTTTATAGAATCTAATTTCTTAAAATCATAGGACTTTGCATGCAGCTAATGAATAAGCATTTATAAGGTGCAGCTGGTTTCCTAGTACTATACTATGCTTGTGTCTGTAATTTATTCCTTGCCTAGGCATCAACTCAGGTAAAGAAAGTTGGAGATTTTCTCCAAAGTCAATATGTTAAATTTGTTAAATTCTATGTGACAATTTAGGATGGTTTAATCCTGTATGCTCACTGCAGAAGGAAACTTTTACTTTTGTTTAGGTACAGTCTGTTCAAGACTCGACCTTCTTAGGGAAGCAAGGGATACTTGGGTGGAGGGGTGGGGCCAAAGAATGGCCCCTAGTGTCATAAAAGATCATTTGGATCTGATGCTATCTCCTTTCCCCTTTCCCCTTGCAGCATTCCTCCTCCTCTTCCTCCTCCTCTTCCAGCAGTGACTCTGACTGAATACAGGCCCTGGACCCTTCCCTCAAGTCTCACCAGTTCTGCTGTCCCATCAAGCTTCAGATGCCATGTTATACTGGGGGAAAGTAGCCCTTGTGCTCCCTTCCCTCACCCCCACCTGAGCCTCACCCTGCTGTTCAGCCCTGAGTGCCTAGGAAAAATGGGAAGAGGACTGCCATGGCATGGCTGTCTTCTTGCTGCTGGGATAGATCATATAGCTAATAAGTTTAGCAGGGGAGCTATTTTTTGAAGATGATGAACTAAATGTTGAAGACAGGTTTGAGATCTGTAAAATGTGATTTTTACTTCCTTTTATAATACTTTTGATTGAGGGGTTTGTGGAAATTTAATTATGATGAAGAACCTCTATCTTTTTTGTAATGTTGGCATACTTGGAGAATTTAGTGGCAAATACATTCCCCAGCAGGCCTTTTGTTGGTTGCACTAACTGCAAGGTTGCTGGGAAGTAGAGTCCATTTGGTCGATGAGCTTTGACTGCCGTTTTGGAACCTCACCTCTTCTCCTTAGCCCAATATACTGTGTCAGGTCCTATTCTCGTTCTCCAGCTCAGTCCAAATAAAGTTATTTCTCCTGGTCTCTGTTCACCTGTGCCATCACCTTGCCTGGGCGTGGCACATTCTACTACTTTTGCTAAACTTCCACAGACCCTTTAAAGTATCAGTTTTATAGAAGGGAACCAGAGCATCAGTGAGGAAGACACTGTATGATTCCTATGTTTTTTTTTTTTTGAGATGGAGTTTCACTCTTGTTGCCCAGGCTGGAATGCAATGGCACAATCTCAGGTCACTACAACCTCTACCTCCCAGGTTCAAGTGATTCTCCTGCCTCAGCTTCCTGAGTAGCTAGAACTACAGGCATTCACCACCACACCTGGCTAATTTTATATTTTTAGTAAAGACTAAAAATAGTTTCTCCATGTTGGTCACGCTGGTCTTGACCTCCCGACCTCAGGTGATCCACCCGTCTTGGCCTCCCAAGCTGCTGGGATTACAGGTGTGAGTCACTGTGCCTGGCCGATTCCTATGTTTCTTAAGTGGGAGGACTCTTCAAAATTGGTTCAGGCATAGTGGCATGAATCTTTATTGTCTTCCCTTGGGTGAATGGTTATAGATCTTTAGTTTATGTTTTCATATATGCTACAGAGGTTCTTAACCTTGGCTGCCTATCAGTTATGAGACAGGAATTTGGGGCTTAGTATTTATTTTTATTTTTTAAAAAATTTTCCTAAGACTTTTTATTTATGTATTTATTTATTTTGAGATGGAGTTTTGCTCTTGTTGCCCAGGCTGGAGTGCAGTGGTGCAATCTGAGCTCACTGTAACCTATGCCTCTTGGGTTCAAGTGATTCTCCTGCCCCAGCTAACCAAGTAGCTGGGACTACAGGCATCTGCCACCATGCCTAGGTAATTTTGTATTTTTAGTAGAGATGGGGTTTCACCATGTTGGTCAGTCAGACTGGTCTTGAACACCTGACCTCAGGTGATCCACCTGCCTTGGCCTCCCGAAGTGCTGGGATTACAGGCTTGAGTGACCACATCCTGCTAAGACTTTTCAATGTGTCCCTACAAATCAGTATATTTAAGAAACTGAGTAATTCTGATGTACAGCTAAACTTGGAGGGCCACTGATTTACCATATACCATGCATAGTACTATACATAGAGTTCTCCAAGATCTGTTGCGTGGAGGAAAAAGACATCTAAGAGAACTAATTAATAAAGATAGGCCCTATAAAATGTCAGGGGGAGGCCGGCATGGTGGTGCGTGCTTGTAATCCCAGCATTTTGGGAGGCTGAGCCCGGTGGATCACTTGAGGTCAGGAGTTTGAGACCAGCTTGGCCAACATAGTCAAACCCTGCCTCTACTAAAAATATAAAAATTAGCTGGGCGTGGTGGCAGGTACCTGTAATCCCAGCTATTTGGGAGGCTGAGGCAGGAGAATCACTTGAACCTAGGAGGTGGAGGTTGCAGTGAGCCAAGATTGCACCACTACATTCCAGCCTGGGTGACAGAGTAAGACTCTGTCTCAAAAAAAAGTCAGGGGGAGAAAGAATTCTTATTGGGAGAGGAGAGAGGAGTGAAAGATGACTTCACAGAAGTGACATTTGAACTACCTCTTGGCCTTCAGTGTGAAGAGTATGGGTAGAAAACAATAGAAGAATGGATTTCCCAAGTGATGGTGAAGAGCTGGGAAAGTCATATGCTTACTTTCAAAGTCATAAAGTTGTACAGCATGTTTGGGAATCACAGGTATCCCAGTGGGGCTAGATTGATTTTCTGGAAAATTGTTTATTGAGAAAAATGCTGTTTTCTAGGTGCAAAAGCCACAAAGATAAATAAGGCACCTCCTACCATCTATGACCTGCAAGATCTAATGAAGCAGACAAATGTGAATACAGTAAAAAGGACTAAAAATATGGTCAAAAGGACTACAGGAGAGACATAGATCAAGCAATGAGGGAGCGGCAGTCTCACTGGGAAAAAGAGCTAGGCGTGGGCTGGGACTTAGGATGAGGAGTTTTCCCATGTGGTAAATAATATCAGCTAACACCGAGCATTTGTCATGTGTAGACACTGAGCACTTCACATTCATAACTGTAATCTTCACAGCAACTCTGTGAAGTGGGCAATATTATTTCTTTTTTGTTTATTTGAGAGGGAGTCTCATTCTGTCCCCCAGTCTGGAGTGCAGTGGCACGATCTTGGCCTACTGAAATCTCCACCACCTGGGTTCAAGTGATTCTCCTGCCTTAGCCTCCAGAGTAGCTGGGACTACAGGCGAATGCCATCATGCCCGGCTAATTTTTTGTATTTTTAGTAGAGACGGGGTTTCATCATGTTAGCCAGGATGCTCTCGATCTCCTGACCTCATGATCCGTCTGCCTTGCCTCACAAAGTGCTGGGATTACAAGCGTGAGCCAGTGCACCCAGCCCTTTCTACCTCATAGATAAGGAAAATTGAAGTATTAAGACGTTCAATAACTTGCCCAAGGTCACACAGTAGTCAATAGTTCAGTCAGAGTTAGAGCTCAGATAGCCTGGCTCCTGAATCTGTGCTATTAACCCAACGGATTCCAGACAGAAGCAGCAGTTTTCCAAAGGCAACAAGTTGTAAAAAGTGTACGATGAGGCCGGGGCAGTGGCTCACGCCTGTAATCCCAGCACTCTGAGAAGCTGAGGTGGGTGGGTCACCTGAAGTTGGGAGATTGAGACCAACCCTACCAACATGGAGAAACCCCGTCTCTACTAAAAATACACAAATTAGCCAGGCGTGGTGGTGCATGCCAGTAATCCCAGCTACTTGGGAGGCTGAGGCAGGAGAATCACTTGAACCTGGGAGGTGGAGGTTGTGAGCCGAGATCACGACATTGCACTCCAGCCTGGGCAATAGAGCCAGACTCCATCTCAAAAAAAGAAATGCCAAGGCCCACTTTTCCAGTGTCTTGGATTTGGGGGCCATTCTAACTTTTTTACACCAGTCACTCTGTTTTCCTTTATCAGCTCTTCATTTTTGGAGAGGAGAGGGAGATGGTGGGCATGGGACAGATCATGAGGTAAAGAGAAATAGATGGCAGCCAGGTGCAGTGGCTCATACTTGTAATCCCAGCACTTTGGAAGGCCAAGGCAAAAGGATTTATTGAGCCCAGGAGTTCAAGACCAGCCTGGGTAACATAGCAAGACCTGTCTCCAAAAAATTTAAAAACTAGCTGGGTGTGGTGGCTTCAGCCTGTAATCCCAGTTACTTGGGAGGCTGAGGCAGGAGAATTTGCTTGAATTTGGGAGGTTGAGACTACAGTGAGCTGAGATTATGACACTGAAGTGTCCGCCTCAGCCTCCTAAAGAGTTGGGATTACAAGCCTGGGCCACTGTGCCTGGCCCCAGCATTCCAATTTATTCAACCAATCTTTTTTTTTTTTGAGATGGAGTTTCACTCTTGTTGTCCAGGCTGGAGTGCAATGGCACAATCTCAGCTCACCACAATCTCCGCCTCCTGGGTTCAAGAGATTCTCCTGCCTCAGCCTCCGAATAGCTGGGACTACAGGTGTGTGCCACCATACCCAGCTAATTTTGTACTTTTAGTAGAGATGGGGTTTCTCTCTGTTGGTCAGGCTGGTCTCGAACTCCCGACCTCAGGTGATCCACCCACCTCAGACTCTCAAAGTGCTGGGATTACAGATGTGAGCTGCTGTGCCCAGCCTTGCCTCAATCTTTTATTACTATAATTTTAGATTTGTTTCCAGTTTTGATGTATACTTAACTACTGTTATAAACATTTTGGTTCATACATCTTTGTCAGAGGTTGAAAAATTAGAAGCCCATGTTATACCTGGGTCAGAGACTTTTTTTTGAGGGATTCCTCTCTATGTTTTTCAGTAAAGTTTCAGGTTTTAAACTGGCGAGTCTAGCAAGAATTTCTGCCCACATTCCTTAAGGCAGAAATTTCTGACTCCGAGTGGTAATCATTGCATGCAGATGGGTCTTCCCATAGTCCTTTCGACTCCCTGTTGTCTTTCTGTAGGCAGATTATATTACTGCTTGGCTCTTGAGAGCAGTGCATTTGTTCCCTGCTTTGTCCATCAGTATAAATCTACAAAGATGGTGGTTCACAAACATTTTTGTCTAGGCCTTCAGCATCTCATACGAGAACCTCTGGGATTCTGCCATTCTCTCTTTTTTTTTTTTTTTTTTCTTATTTTGATGCATGCCTAGCTAGTTTTTTGTTTTGTTTTGTTTTCTATTTTTTTGAGGCAGAGTCTCACTCTATCCCCCAGTCTGGAGTGCAGTGGTGTGATCTCAGCTCAGAAACCTCTGCCTTATGGGTTCAAGTGATTCTCCTGCCTCAGCCTCCTAAGTAGCTGGGATTACAGGTGTATGGCACCATGCCTGGCTAATTTTTGTATTTTTACTAGAAATGAGGTTTTGCTATGTTGGCCAGGCTTGTCTCGAACTCTTGACCTTAGGTGATCTGACCACCTTGGCCTCCCAAAGTGCTGGGATTACAGGTGTGAGCCACTGCGACCGGCCATTGTTTTGTAGAGACAAGGTCTCACTGTATTGCTCAGGCTGCTCTCGAACTCCTGAGCTCAAATGATCCTCTCACCTCATTTTCCCAAAGTGCTGGGATTACAGGCTATTCTCTTTTTACTAGAAACTAGCAAAACTCATTTCCATTCAAATGAGAATGGAAAACATAGGAAATCCATGGGATCTAAAATAAGTTGACAGTTTAGGAACTGTAAATTAATGGGATAAATCTTCATCTAGTTTGCTGCCTCTTGGACCCAACTCCCTGTATCAGATTGCTCTGTGGCCCTAGGCAGATTCACTCTCTTGACTTAGTTTGGTTCCCCTTCTGGAGAACCAAATAATCAATAAATTGATTCATAAAATTATCAGGCATTGCTATTATATACATCTCATCTTTTACTTTCAAAGCCGGCTGCAACTGTTGGCCAGCTCCAATACAGATATTTACTATTTGTTTTGTGCCAGCACCCCCACCCCAGCCCCCGTGTTAGAGGTACTTTTATGGATAGACACTTTCACCCCAGCCCTCAGAGGTATAAATGTCCCA